CAGAAAACTATAGTGAAAGTGGACAAATTTAGAGCAGAAACATGAACCTCTGCAAATCTGAAATATAATATATTTATATTGGTGAAAACTAGGGTTGACTTGGTATAGATTATAGTATTTACAAATCTATTTAGAAGTTTGCCAAATGCTGGCTGTCCTGCTATTATTAAAGCACAACCAGACTAAATTTTTGTTATTTGGCTAATCAGTTATCGGAGGCGGATTCAAGATTTAAATTTTATGGGTTCACAACGACCTTAAGTTAATCTGTAATTATAAATGAGTTCATAATAAAAAAAGTATAGTTATTTAGAAGATTCCTTAACATGTAACCAGACCTCTAGATCCGTCCCTGTCAGCTGTATGCAAAGTCAGTATGCAATGAATTACATGTGATGAGATTCACTTAAGAAACCCAATAATCATAATCTGCATTACTTACAGAGTAAAATGGGGCAGCAGATACAATACTCATTGGCTCTGGTGCATTCGATGGAGAGAGAGCGTATAACGCAGCCTGAAACAGTTGTGTAGATCCCGTTCCAACTACAATGTGATAGTTTCTAGTCTGAGCATTACCAACTAGATTGTGCAGTCTAGTTACTGCATTTGCAAAGCCTGGCTCCAGAAACCAGCAATGGTTCTTAGTATCCGAAAAATAACTAATGGATTGCCAACCTGATAAAACAAGTGTTGTTTTGTCTCCCATTTGCTTCCAGTAGACCTCGTACATGGTAGGATCACCACTGCAGAGATTTTACAAGACATTAAAGCTTCTTCGTACTGTTATTTCATATTAATTTAAAAAAGCATTTTCCTTTCTAAAATGGACCAAAAATAGCTTCACTTATGAATACAGTATCTACCTTATATTGTCCGCAACAAAAAACAACATAAACCAAATTCGTCATTTCAGCAATTACATTGACATAAAGTTTTCAACAATGCAACACAATGTACCATTAACTAAAAGTGATCCAATCTAGACAATAGTCCATGTTGCAACATCATTCAATACTGATTAGGTGGTTAGGTGAGGCCGAGTTATGAGTCTTTTCCATCAAAGTAAGGACAGGAGATTTAAGACGAATCTACGGGGCAAAATACGAAGTTATCTGTCCTACTAGCCGCGCGGAAGAAGTGTTGCATAAAGGATAACTAGTACTAGGTAGTAACATAAAAATGGCTCCAAAAAGTTAAGGATAAAGTAGTGCATGCACCTTACCCTCGTTGTATAAAGGATGGGTAAGTGCACTTCCAAATCTTAAGGGTCCCAAACTTAAGTCTTTTGGATATTCTCAAAGGACAATAGGATTATGTATGTAGACCCACAAGGATCTAAATTATATTAACTAGTCTGAAAGTAATTTCAAACAGTATAGAACTAATACTAATAAATGTATAACAAAGTGGTATTTTGAATTGTTTGAGGGTCATCCAGCAAGTGCAAAACACAAGAATGATTATGTCTGGTTAATGAGAGAATCAAGGACCACCATCTATAGTAGAAAAATGTTGAAGCAAAGTAATTAGTGAAGCAGTTTCCAATGTTAAACAATCATAGCATAGTGTAAAGTGTAAAACACTCAGCACAAGTTATTATCCCTTATCATGCCCATCCTAACCCAACCATATCGGAGTATTTTTGCAGGATCTAGCACACACTGGACAACATTTTAAGAGTCCGAGCAACATAAACTCCCACCAACAACCTCCTGGAGACAGAAGCCCAGTTCATTCTCATTATCAAAGATTGCATCTTTTATGGCTCATTGTCATTTCCAAGCCCCCAGCACTCCTTACAGATAGAATCCACCCCCACCCCCACCCCACCACTAGGATAAAATAAACAAAAAATAAAACAAATACTGACACCCTTCTGTTATGCCAGCAAAACATGTCCTCCCATCCCTGCCTCACCACTGATGATCCTCCATCACTGGCAAGAATACAGAGATTGCCAAAAAAAAATTGTCTTTGCTTTGCTCGACAGCAATTATTATTTTGTTAAAAAAAAATATTACTCCACCCATCCCAGTTTTGAAATATGTAATATAAAATAAACCTTATATATTTGTACGGTTGCATATAGTCACACGGTTCAACATGATATTAGAACGTACAAAGTTCAATCAGGCCCACACACTCTAATTATGAAAAGAAAAAGAAAAAAAAAACATTCTTTTGAAAACGGACTAAAAATAAACGGAGAAAAAGATGGAGTCTTGAAACTTACTGGTCCAGATTGATGTACTGATCAGTTGCAGGCTTAGCCTTACGAAGCACATCCTTAACCAGGCTGACCTCATTGTTCCGATTGGTGTCCCGGCCGGCGAGTCCAGCCCATTCATGTTCATGATGCAGTAATTTCAACAGTAGGCCTGCATTGATAGCTATAGAAATGATAAGCAAGTGTTTTATTGTTGGCATAATCTTCTGGTTCCTCATAAGGCTGAAACCCATCTGTGATGTGATTTTGTACAAACAGAATAGATAATATATATATAGTGAAGTGAGACTTGAAACAGAGTAATTTTCTCTTTCTTAATGCTCTGTTCTGTGTGATATCAAAGATGGTTCAAGGGTTGGTATTTATAATCGTTCAAAGTGGATTTCTTTTTACTTTTATAATCATGGTATCCAAATTCGAACATATCGGTTGGGTTGGGTTTTAAAAGTGTGAATCACTAGCTACTTATTAGGTTTTAAAATTGCATTTTTTTTATACATTTTTTAAAAAAAATAATAAACTCGTATTTGTAGTTTGACATATTATAACTTTTTTAATTATTTATTCATTTTATTTTGAGAGGAAATAATTTACAACCTCCAATACATTAGAGAGATTAATTTTCTTAAGGATACACGATAAGTTCTGTGGACACGAAATCTTAATTGTTTTTAATTTATTATTATTCTGATTACATGAGATAACAAACTTAAAGAACTTAAATATATATATTTTTTGTATTTGAAATTTTTGGAGATTAAATTTTTTTTTAAATTTTCTACTTTGTCTAAATCTGAAACTGACTTGAAGAATATAAAAACTTCATAAAAATTTAAGGTACATTCGGATAGATTAGAAAAATATAAAAATATTATCAAAATTTAATGTTCATTTAGTAAATTATATAAGGATAGAATCTTTAGTATTAATATTCTGCAATTGGTTTGACTTTGATTCCACTGATAAAGGAGAACGAGGTGAGAAGTTGAAACGTGACTCAAACTAAAATATACCCACTTACTGAGTCAATTCTTGATTTAATTAGGTGGATTCATCACTAATTACTATTATTGTTTTAATTACTTACACCTCCTATCCTATTTAAATGTCATTCTTAGCAAAATCAATACATAAATAATATTATTCTTCAATAAATTAATTTATGTTAATTTATCGAATAAAAAAAATTTACCACATGAGAACTGACTCGATTTTCAACTAATAAGACTAATTAGTCTTTAAACATCGATGAACAAACACGTTTATTTAATGTTAAGCGATGATAAAGATTTGATTTTTCAAATCATATGTGATCTTTTAAGTAAATTACTCTGTACGTTTTATTTTATATGATTTTACTATAAAAAATAAGTATTTTATTTTACTTATTCATTTGAGCATATAAAAGATTTTTATTTTTAAAATGTATTTTCCATTAATTTTCTACAAGGACCAGTTGATGATATGTGAGAGGTGAGTTATGCTAGTCCATTTTTAACCAATAATGCTCACTAGTCCTAATAATTACATGCAAATAAGGACCTAAATTTATGCAATTAAGTTAGGTGATTACCAAAATTATTTTCTTTTGTTTAATGATTGGAGTAGATTTGTGCGAATAAAAGCTGGAATTTTATTTTATGTCAGCCCAGAAATAGAATAAAATAGTCATATTGGTTGTGGTGCATTGTTGAGAGTTGTTCACCCTTAATCAAATGTTTTGAATTCGAGCTCTACGTATGGAGAAAATCTTGTAAGGAATGTCACCCTCAAATAGGCCTGCAGAGTGCAGAGCGCGATTCAAATTTAGTCAGAGCTTCAATGCAAATTTCAATACCTAGTGAAAAACCAAAAAGAAAAAGTGATCCCGTAAGTGACAATAAATCTATTACTCTAGGGTTTGACCCCTCTTGAGGCTTCAATTATGGATGATTTAGCCTGGCTAGCCTATTAAATGTATGGTCCTTCTCAGCGTCCCATTAAACTTTATCTTTTCTCCTTAGTATTGGAGTTGGTATAATTATTTTCTTTCGAGATAAATTAAATAAATTATATTAGTATAATATGTGATATTTCAAATTCTAATGTATAACGAACTTAAAAATTAATCAAATTATATGTAAAACTTACTTTGCAATTATACGAAGTATTGCAGAAACCAAAGAGATAATTTTAAAATTTTCATAGTGAATAAAAAAGGAGGAGGAATGGTGAATATTTATAGCCAAATATTGGGTTTCAATCGAAGATACATAACTTTTTTGTTGGTGGCTTTTCGTGAAACTATGTTCGGAAGGTTTTTTTTATTGAAAAGATACCGATTTGATTTTTTTTTAAAAATAATTGGAAGATATATTAGTGAATCGATTTATCAAATTAAAATTTAAAAGCGAAATCAAAGATAATAACGCAAAAGAGCCTCTTTTCATTTTAATTTTTTTAATTTTCTATTTTGTATCGCTTCCAAAAATCCAAACACTATTTTAATCATTTTTTCTTCACTCTAGCATCTTTACAAATAATTTGAGTATTCAGTTCCAAGCCTCATTGCTGACTTACACAATTGATAGAGATTTTATCGAAAGTAAATTTTATTAAATTAATTTTAAGTGGGATATTTTAAAATTTAAAATTTAAAATTTAATTATCACTATTTCAAATAAGGGGAGTGCGAAGAAAAAACAAAAAAAAAAATCTCTTTTATTTAATTAAAATAAATAAACAAGTTAAAATAAAACTAATCTATTTTTAGTACTCCAGTAAAATAAAATGGGGAAGAAATAATTAAAAGTGACCAAAATAATATAGTTTGATGTGGGTTTGCTTAGGCGACGGCTATTTGCAGTACCTAAACAACCGCCGTCACATCCCCGCCGGTGGTGATTTCCCGGCGAAGCACCGAACAACTCGATCAGCAAGGTCCTAAGTTTGTTTCTGAAAATAATTGTGTAAGGTACGCTTATGTAGCTGTTTTTGGTGTTTAATCTTGCATCTATTGTGATTCATTCACTACAAATGGCCTTAAAGATTACTGAAAGAGGAATCCATGAAGCTGAAAATCCAATTGAAGTGTCTTTTAGAGAAGCTTTTGAGCTTCTTAAACCCCAACTAAACCCACCATTTACCTTAAAAGTGCTAACAAAAGAGGAATACTCAAACCTGAATAAAGCTTTAATATTTGGCATTTTCTCCCAACCCAATTTGGCTGAAGTTCATATTAAGCATCTACATGCAATTGTTATTGATGGGTATGATTTGTTTACTTGTATGCTTGTCAAGATTGTTGATGAATTGTATGTAAAATTGGTTGACTCTGTGAAAATTCAGCTTATATGGGTTACTAAAGAGATGTTGAATGTATTGGCTATAGGATTTGATAAATTGATGGTGGCTCTTTTAAGGCAAATTGTAGGTGGGGATTTTAGTGAGGGAAATTTGTGGTTGTGTTTGGAGATGGTTGCACTGTTTTTAGCCAATTGGGATTGTTTATTAGAGGAAGAACCATTGATGTTGAATAAGGGGTTGTATGTGTTCCTTCGATTATTGGCCGATCATTATGGAGTTCCAAGTAATCCAATGATTGATGGATTGAAGAGAATGGAGGTTGTATTCTGTGTTCGACTTTTGAGGGAACAATTTCTTTTGTGTTTGAAGATAGGGAGGGACTTAATTAGGCTTTTGCAAGACTTGGTTCATATACCTGAGTTTAAAGCCATATGGAGAGACTTGTTATTGAATCCAAGACACTTTGGGGTGGATGGATTTAAAGATATTTCACAAATTTACCACACAAAAACTCCAAGTTCATACTTTTTGCTTCGAGTAACTCCTGAAATGGAAACTAAATTGAGGTTTTTGCTTACACATGTCAAGTTGGGTAACCAAAAGAGGTACCAGGTTTGGTTCGCTAAGAAGTTCCTTGGAGTACCTGGGAGTGAAGTCATTTTAACCGACATTGTTAGGTTTATATGCTGTTCAGTTCATCCATCCAGTGAAATTATGCAACCAGATATCTTACCCAGATGGGCTGTGATTGGTTGGCTATTGACGTCGTGCAGGAAGAGTTATGTCCAAGCAAACTTGAAGCTCGCATTGTTTTATGATTGGCTTTTCTATGATGAAACCACTGATAATGTAATGAACATTGAGCCTGCAATTCTTTTGATGGTGAACTCTATACCCAATTATATTGAAGTTACCCGTACTCTTCTCGAGTTCCTACTAATTGTGGTTGACAACTATGATATTGAGAGGAAGGAGATAGTCTCCAGAGGGGTGTCAACAGCTCTTTCTACACTAGTTAAAAGAGGAGTTGTTAGTTCACTTGATGTTTTGACTCGTTGTGACATGATAGCACCAGTTCATAGGGAAATGTTTGGAAAATTGGTATTGGTCATGCAAGGTATCCATTCCCAAAAAATAGGATCAGCCAGTATCATCCATGATATATCACCACCACCTAGCCATTTGCTCTCATCAAGCTTGGGATCCCAACACCCTAACAGGGTGAACTGTAATTAATTGTGTCATCACAGGCATATACAGGGAAGATCTGTTGATGCATCACTTTCGCCTCCCAAAGAATTGCTTGTGATCCTTTTGTCCCAACAGGCGGTTAAGTTCCACTCAACTGGATACAAGTTTCAAGGAGAAGTTTGAAATCAAGGTGATAGGAGAAACATCTCTTTCGCCTCCCAAAGAATTGCTTGTGATCTTTTTGCCCCAATAGCTAAAGTTGGACTCAAGTGATGAAAGTTTCAAGGAGAAGTTCAAAATCAAGGTGATAGGAAGTTTTTCTGGGTAATTCTTGATACCTGAAGGTAAAAATATCCTCATCATGTTGCTATATGTTTCTTTAGGTCTTAAGAGATGCACATTCTTCTCATTCTTATGTTTATATCGGTATTCTCTATTTCCGGAGTAGCTCTCTTTTTGTCAATAGTTCTGCATTCTGTAATTGTCAAATCACTTACACAGGGATAAACAACTTGAACAACTCATCTTTGATGAGACTTGGTTGTCTCATCTGTGTGAGATGTGATCACAATTTTGTGTTGTAGAGGACTCAGGGACAAGATAGGGTTCTCCCAACCTCACTGTTACTATACAACCTCTTATATAATATGGCCAGATAGAAGAGAAATAGAAGTTAGGAACATACATGTCTAAATTTGGTCATGGAAAAGCCTACTAAAGCTGCTCTTACAGAATTTTTGGTGGCTTGATAAAATGAAACTAACAAGTGTATAATTTTGACAAGTTTCTTAACTAACAGGCAAAATGTTGACATTTAGTATATATGTTGTGATTTCCCCCTTTCATAATTCTGTAGAGCTATGGAATCAAAATAGATAGAATTTTGAGTAGTTAATAGTATAGATAGATATTCCTGATTGAATTCCACATCCTTTTTTTTCTTTTTGCTTGCGTTCCGAAGAAGCTTACAAATTGCAGCTTTGTTTCAAGCTTGTATGTCTGATATATTGAATCCTCCTGCAGATTTGGGTATGAAATCAAGGTCTTCTTTGAAGTATCTACATCTTCTGTCCATAGAAATCTCCTACATAGGCTCTCAATGCAAGCTTTCTTTGGCAACTGAGACCAAAATTACTCTACTTTTATTGCATTTGGACTTTATTTTCAATTTGCTGGTTCTGAAAGTTACGGCTACTGAGTAGTTTCTAGCCTTGAAATCTTAATTGTTTCACAAATATATTGTTGTGCAGTATGATGTTTAAACCATAACTTTTAAATCATTTCTCAAAACAAGTTTCTCGACAACAATAAGGGACCCTAGTCATTCTCAAATGATTTTGATTCTAAAAATAGTCATTCTCACTAATAGCCAATAGGGAACAGGTTCACCTTCGATGTATTTTTTCTGAAAAAAAAAACTAAAATCACCGTTAACTAATATGAATATATCGTCAACCACCACCATCAATACCACTGCAAATCATCTCCATCATCATTAGCAAATATATATATATATATATTGTCAAATAACCATTTTATTTTATTAAATTTGTATTTTTCTAATATTTAATAATTTGAATTGTATAATTTATCATGTTTATATATTAATAAAAGATGCACATTCACCTGTTAAAAAACAACCATTTTAATTATTTAAAAATATATTCAAATTCAAACGTTATAATCCTAGCAGACTCATATTTCTTCGTAGAAATCCTTTTTGTTATATAATATTATTCAACAAGGAATTCAAAAAAGATTTTACCACAATTTATTTGTCACATAAATGTACAGGAAAGCCTCCACAATAGGAATAAAAAAAGGGAACTACGTCTCCACGTAAATATTTTGATATTTAAATTAGATTTAATCCCAAAGTAATTTGTAGGTTGGTTCCTAACTAACTTGGTCTCCAAACAATTAATTAACTTCTTTTCCAAGTACTTTAGAATGAATTGACATTCACTTTAATTAGTAAGACTAAACTGTTTTAGCTTTTGGTAATCTTAATTCATAATTAGTTTAATTCATATTTAAATAGAAATTATTGTCAAAATTATCTAAAACAACTAATTAGATAAAACTCAATTGCTTTATATTCTCTGTAACAAAATCTTCGCCGGTAACTTTTGATTTTTCCGAGTTCCGATTGAATATGTCTGATTCCGATCGTGTTCCAACAAGTTATTCCGGGCTGCATGAACCTTCCGGTGAAGCTGAGTCTCTGTTTGGGAAAATTGATCCCAAAAAGTTTGGAGATCGTGTTTACCGGAGTACGCCGCCGGAGAAAATTCAGAAGAAGAAGCGGGAACGATTTGTTGTCTCTGAGACCACTATGCAGAACAAGAAGAGACGGAGGATTCTGGGAGAAGAAAGTTCTGTTCTTAATTGGGCAGAGGAAGGAGGAGTTTACCAGCCGAAAACTAAGGAAACTAGAGCTGCTTATGAGTCTTTGCTCAGTTTGATTCAGCATCAATTATGTGGACAGCCTCTCAACATTGTGAGTGCGGCGGCTGATGAGATTTTGGCTGTGCTAAACGACGGTTATTCCAATAATTCTGATAAGAAAAAGATGGAGATTGAGAAGGTGTTGAATGTATCCGTATCGAATAAGGTATTTGATAAGTTTGTGTCAATTGCAAGATTTATTACTGATTATCAATGTGATGGTCATCGTGATGATGAAGTGCTTTATGATGATGATGTTGGTGTAGCAGTTGATTTTGAGGAGAACGAAGAAGACGTAGAAGAAAGTGATCTTGATGTGGTGCTAGATGATGGAGAAGAGGATGAGTATGTGCAGCTGGAAGGTAATGTTGCTGGTAATATGCAGATGGGCAGCGGTGGCATTGATGATGAAATATTGCAGGAAGCTGATCAGGGGATGGCTTTGAATGTTCAGTATATAGATGCTTATTGGCTTCAAAGAAAGATTTCTGAAGCTTATGAGCAGCAGCAGATTGATCCGCAACAGAGTCAAAAGCTTGCTGAAGAGGTTTTTAAAATTCTTGCTGAAAGTGGTGATGATCGTGATGTGGAAACAAAGTTGCTGGTGCATCTGCAATATGACAAGTTTAGTCTAATCAAGTATCTTCTGAGAAACCGGCTAAAGGTAGTGTGGTGTACTCGTCTCGCAAGGGCTGAAGACCAGGAAAAGAGGAAGAAAATCGAACAAGAGATGTTGGGGTTGGGGCCAGATCATGCTGCAATATTATAACAGTTGCATGCTACTACTAGGGAAACTGCGAAAGAGAGACAGAAGAATTTGGAGAAAAGCTTTAGGGAAGAAGCTAGGCGATTTAAGGATGCAGATGGTGAAGATCTTGATAATGGTTGGTCGATGGGCCAGCGTTCATTGCTCAATCTTGACAGCCTTGCGTTCCATCAGGGTGGTTTGTTGATGACAAATAAAAATTGTGAGCTCCCAGCAGGATCATATAGGAATAATATGAAGGGTTATGAGGAAGTTCATGTGCCAGCATTGAAGCCAAAGCCATTAGCTCCCGGAGAAAAGCTTGTGAACATCTCTTCCCTTCCACAGTGGGCACAACCAGCTTTCACTGGAATGATCCAATTGAACAGGGTGCAGAGTAAAGTATATGAAACCGCCCTATTTACTCCTGAGAACATCTTACTGTGTGCTCCCACAGGAGCTGGCAAGACTAATGTAGCTATGCTCACTATACTTCATCAAATTGGATTGAACCGTAAGGAAGATGGATCTTTCAATCATAACAATTATAAGATTGTCTATGTGGCACCAATGAAAGCCCTTGTTGCTGAAGTAGTTGGCAATCTCTCCAGGCGTTTGGAGCTCTACGGTGTCACTGTGAAAGAATTGAGTGGAGATCAGTCACTAACTCGTCAGCAGATTGAAGAAACTCAACTTATTGTGACAACTCCGGAAAAATGCGATATCATAACCAGAAAGTCGGGTGATCGGACATATACACAGCTTGTTAAACTTCTTATAATTGATGAGATACATCTCCTGCATGACAACAGAGGTCCTGTTTTGGAAAGTTTAATTGCAAGAACTATCAGACAAATTGAGACCACGAAAGAGCATATCCGGCTGGTTGGGTTGTCAGCGACACTTCCAAATTTTGAGGATGTGGCAGAGTTTTTGAGAGTTGATCTGAACAAAGGCCTCTTCTATTTTGACAATAGTTACAGGCCTGTCCCGTTGGCTCAACAGTATAATGGAATTACTGTTAAGAAGCCGTTGCAGAGATTCCAGCTGATGAATGATGTTTGCTATGAGAAGGTAACCAGTGTGGCAGGAAAGCAGCAAGTGCTTATTTTTGTCCACTCAAGGAAGGAAACAACAAGGACAGCTCGTGCAATACGAGATACTGCACTTGCTAATGACACATTAGGTAAGTTTTTAAAGGAGGACAGTTTAAATCGAGAAATTCTTCAGTCTCACACAGATCTTGTCAAAAACAATGATCTCAAGAATCTTTTATCATATGGTTTCGCAATTCATCATGCGGGGTTGGTTAGGACCGATCGTCAACTTGTGGAGGACCTCTTTGCTAAGGGACATGTGCAAGTTCTGGTGTCAACAGCAACCTTAGCTTGGGGTGTAAATTTACCTGCACATACTGTCATTATAAAAGGCACTCAGATATACAACCCTGAGAAAGGAGCCTGGACCGAACTGAGTCCCCTTGATATTATGCAGATGCTTGGCCGTGCTGGAAGGCCTCAATATGACACTTATGGAGAAGGAATCATCATAACTGGACACAGTTCACTGAAATATTATCTTTCTCTGATGAATCAGCAACTTCCTATTGAAAGTCAGTTCATATCTAAGTTGCCTGATCAGTTGAACGCAGAGATTGTCCTTGGGACTGTGCAGAATGCCAAAGAGGCATGCAAGTGGATCCTCTATACTTACCTCTATATTCGAATGGTACGAAATCCCAGTCTTTATGGTCTTGCTGCTGCTGGTGTCAAAACTGAAGATGCTTTTGAGGAAAGGTGTGCTGACTTGGTTCATTCTGCAGCTGCATTACTGGACAAAAACAACCTGATAAAGTATGATAGGAAGAGTGGATATTTCCAGGTGACTGACTTGGGTCGCATTGCTAGCTGTTACTACATAAGTTATGGGACAATTTCCACATTCAATGAGCACTTGAAATCAACAATTGGTGACATGGAGCTTTGTAGACTCTTCTCTCTCAGTGAGGAGTTCAAATGTGTAACAGTAAGGCAGGATGAGAAAATGGAATTGGCAAAGCTTCTGGATCGTGTTCCCATTCCTATAAAAGAGAGTCTTGAGGAGCCAAGTGCCAAGATCAATGTTCTATTGCAGGCATATATTTCACAGCTGAAGCTTGAGGGGCTGTCTTTGTCATCGGACATGGTCTATATAACTCAAAGTGCTGCACGTCTGATGCGAGCCCTTTTTGAGATAGTTCTGAAAAGAGGATGGGCTCTATTAGCTGATAAGGCTTTGAAATGGTGCAAGATGATAAGTAAGAGGATGTGGAGTGTGCAGACACCACTTCGCCAATTCCATGGCATTCCAAATGAAATCTTGATGAGATTGGAAAAGAAAGATTTGGCTTGGGAGAGGTATTATGATCTTTCATCACAAGAGTTAGGGGAGCTTATTCATTTCCCGAAGCAGGGAAGAACACTTCACAAATTCATTCATCAATTCCCAAAGCTGAACCTTGCAGCACATGTTCAACCAATTACTCGCTCTATCCTGAGGGTAGAATTGACTATGACACCAGATTTCCAGTGGGAGGATAAGGTCCATGGTTATGTAGAACCCTTCTGGGTTATTGTAGAAGATAACGACAGGGAGAGAATTCTTCATCATGAATATTTCATGCTGAAGAAGCAGTATATCGATGAGGACCATACTTTGAACTTCACTGTTGCAATTTATGAACCATTGCCTCCTCAATACTTCATCCATGTTGTGTCTGACAGATGGCTAGGGTCCCAAACTGTTTTACCAGTTCCTTTCCGGCACCTGATTTTACCAGAGAAGTATCCTCCTCCCACCGAGTTGCTAGACCTGCAACCTCTACCAGTTACTGCATTGAGGAATCCAGCTTATGAAGCGCTTTATCAAGATTTTAAGCATTTTAATCCAGTTCAAACTCAGGTTTTTACAGTCTTGTACAACTCAGAGGACAACGTCTTGGTTGCAGCTCCAACTGGTAGTGGGAAGACCATTTGTGCTGAACTTCCCATATTAAGAAATCATCAGAAAGGACCTGATAGTATTTTCCGTGCAGTGT